TAATGTTGTGGTGATCCCAGTGGGCGAGGTGGCTCATGCCTGTAATCCCAGCACTTTGGGAGGCCAAGAGGGGCAGATCATGAGGTCAGGAGATGGAGACCATGCTGGCTAACATTAACAGTAAAACCCCGTCTCTACTAAAAATACAAAAATTAGCCAGGTGTGGTGGTGCATGCTTGTAGTCCCAGCTACTCAGGAGGCTGAGGCAGGAGAATCTTTTAAACCTGGGAGGAATCAGTTGAACCTGAGAAGTGGAGGTTGCAGTGAGCCAAGATTGCGCCACTGCACTCCAGCCTGGGTGACAATGCAAGACTCCATCTCAAAACGAACAAACAATAACAAAAAAATAAACAGAGCGAGACTTTGTCTCAAAAAAAAAAAAAAAAAGGTTTTGGTGAACCCAATGTGTAGCCAAGTTTGAGAAACCAGTGCCCTAGAGGGAAAGGATATTCTAGAAATGGGTTTAAGCACCACCTACTATTCTTTTTTTGAGACAGAGTTTTGTTCTTGTCACCCAGGCTGGAGTGCAATGGCACAATCTCGGCTCACCGCAACCTTCTCCTTCTGGGTTCAAGCAATTCTCCTGCGTCAGCCTCCCGAGTAGCTGGGATTACAGGCATGCACCACCACGCCCAGCTAATTTTGTAGTTTTAGTAGGGACGGAGTTTCTCCATGTTGGTCAGGCTGGTCTTGAACTTCTGACCTCAGGTGATCTGCTGGCCTCGGCCTCCCAAAGTGCTGGGATTACAGGCGTGAGCCACCATGCCTGGTACCACCTACTATTCTAATTGCTGTTACAGTACACAGTACTGAGCAAAATACTACTGTTTATATTTGAAAAGTTGTTATATATGTCACATCAATAATGAAGGCTAGTACCCAGGGACAGTATGGCTCATGCCTGTAGTAGTCCTAGCCACTGGGGAAGCTGAGGTGGGAGGATCATGTGAACCCAGAAGTTCATTTTTTTTTTTGAGACAGAGTCGCACTCTGTAACCCAGGTGGGAGTGCGGTGGCACAATCTCAGATCGCTGCAGCCTCTACCTCCCAGATTTAAGCAATCCTCCCACCTCAGCCTCCCGAGTAGCTGGGACTATAGGCATGCACCACCACATTTGATACTTTTTGTATTTTCACTAGAGACAGGGTTCACCATGTTGGCCAGATTGGTTTTGAATTCCTGACCTCAAGTGATTCACCCGCCTCAGCCTCCCAAAGTGCTGGGATTACAGGTGTGAGCCACCATGCCCAGCCAAGTCCAGAAGTTCAAATCCAGCCTAGGCAAATAGCAAGACCCCATCTCTTAAAAAATAAAAAAAATTCACCTGAGTTTCATATACTTTCAAAGGAAAAAAGAAATGAAAAATAAACAAATAATAAAGAATAAAAGCACTGGAAGCAGTGGCTCACGCCTGTAATCCCAGCACTTTGGGAGGCCAAGGTGGGCAGATCATCTGAGATTGGGAGTTCGAGACCAGCCTGGCGAACATGGTGAAACCCCGTCTCTACTAAAAATACAAAATCAGCTGGGTGTGGTGGTGGGCACCTGAAATCCCAGCTACTCAGGAGGCTGAGGCAGGAGAATCACTTGAACCTGGAAGGTGGAGGTTGCAGTGAGCTGAGATCACGCCATTGCAGTCCAGCCTGGGCAAAAAAAGTGAAACTCTGTCTCAAAAAAAAAAAAAAGGAATAAAAACATAATAATGAAGGCCTTTTTTTTTTAATCTGCAGGTGAGATCTGGAACCATTTTCGATAACTTTCTGATCACAGATGATGAAGAGTATGCAGATAATTTTGGCAAGGCCACCTGGGGCGAAACCAAGGTATGAAGCACATGATTAACTCTTCCTACATCATTAATTTAGTTGTGTAATTTTTTTTTTTTTTTTTTGTCACTCAGGCTGGAGTGCAGTGGCACAATCTCTGCTCACTGCAACCTCTGCCTCCCGGGTTCAAGTCATTCTCCTGTCTCAACCTCCCAAGTAGCTGGCACATGCCACCATGCCCAGCTAGTTT